TAAATTATGGTGTTTTGGAAGAAATTTTGTAGTAGTATAATTTCTTTTTAATCATTCATAATTAGCCCCCTCAAAAAGGATACTGAAGGGGCTAATACAGGAAATGGGTGAAGTCTGGTGTGCTTCTGCTTGGTCAGAATGAAAACCTCCAACCACAACGGCCCATCCCAGAATCAGTTTGGTTTTCATTTTGATGTTATGTTATTTTTTATTTGATTGGGACAGTGTATATTAATGAACACCCCTCTCTGGATTGTAGCTCAACATGCAAACTCCACACAGAAAGGCCCTGCTCCGACCAGAATCTGACGTGCGGGACTGCTTTCCACTCAGCCACCTGCCTTACACCAGTGAGACACACGATGCCTTACAACTTTGTGCACTCACCCACATGCTTTTATTTCACTTTTCTTTACTTACAGAAGGTGCACCAAGAGAATGTGCTTGTTTCAAAATAGATAATACTGAAGCTTCACAAAAAGAAGTAAACCCGAGTCCTCTAGTCCATCACTCGTGAACACCTTTTATATTTTGATAATTCATCTTTCTGAATTCCATCTCTTTGAAATGGATGATCAGACCAACTTCTATTTGCTTTAAGCGACTTCTGCAAAATGGTTCCAGAAGGAGCTTAACTTCCAAATTAGAGCTGTTGCTGTTCAGTCTTTTGGTTGGTTAATGGGTCAAACTGTTAGTATTAGATAGCAATATGGCCTACGTGCAGGACTGTACAAGGACTCTACAAGGACTCCATTTTATGACTATGATTTGACTGTCTCTTTGTGACACGTATGTCTTTCGATGTGTGACAATGACTATATAAACTGTGTACTGCCTTTATTCTGTCTGAGAGAAAGAAACAGAGTAAACCAGTGGAACTTGAGAGAAACTTAAATAAACTTCCAGAGTTTGGCACACCACGATCCGTCTCTGTCTGCTTGAATCCTGACAGATTTGGTGGAGAATGCGCGGCTCAGTGTGTGCCATTCTCTGGATTGTTTTGAGGGAGTTTTCTTTGTTTCTTTTTCTCGGCGTGGGAGAGCTGAGAGTGTCTGGGGCCTGGGAGCGGTCCAGCAGGCTGGAGAGGCGACCGGCTCCGGGACTCTTTTTCGCTGTCTCACTATTTTTTTTTGTGTCCTGTTTTTTGGACTGAGCGTTTAAAATTGTTTTCCCATGTCCACATTCCGGGGATTTTTGACGTGCGATTGGTCTCTGCCGATGGAAACTAGTTCCCGGTACTAGTGAGCGCTGGTTCATGATCTGGAGACCTGGTTGGACGTGGAAAAGCTGATATTTGGTGGACTTCTGACTGTGCCTGGGCCCTGTTCGACAAAAGGTAAGAGCGGACACCTGTTTATTCAAAGTCTGCTAATTGAGTGAACTAAATTATGGTCTGTTTTGAGGTCCACCAAATGTCTAATATCTATAGATAAGATTAGAGAGAAAAAGGAACCCCTGACGTATCGGGGTCCCTGTCCTTTGAAGTAGTCAGGGCAGAGCGAAAAAGGAACCCCTGACGTATCGGGGTCCCTGTCCTTTGAAGTAGTCAGGGCAGAGAGAAAAAGGAACCCCTGACGTATCGGGGTCCCTGTCCTTTGAAGTAGTCAGGACAGAGAGAAAGGAACCCCTGACGTATCGGGGTCCCTGTCCTTTGAAGTAGTCAGGACAGAGAGAAAAAGGAACCCCTGACGTATCGGGGTCCCTGTCCTTTGAAGTAGTCAGGACAGAGAGAAAAAGGAACCCCTGACGTATCGGGGTCCCTGCCTTTGGAGTAGCCGGGGCAGAGAATAGAGAATAGAAAATAGTTAGTGAAACCATGGTGTAAACAGAAAAGCAATAAAAAGGGAAATGTGTTAAAGAGGCCTTTGTTACAAAAGCTTTGATATTGACGAATTTCAGGCTGATAAATGACAAAAGTAAAGAAGCAACAATATTTCAGTGATCACGGTTTAAATTACATACAGAAAAAGGGAGTTTTTGTTTTTTGGCGTGAACAGAGTTCACCTGAGAATGCAAAGTTTTATCTAAAGTTGAGCTATGAGAGCTTTCGTGAGTTATTTACATTTTTTGGCGAGTTTTATCTACAGTTAAGCTATGAGAGGGTTGTATCCAACAGTTGTTTTTTGTTTTTTAGAAAGAGATTTTGAGTTTAAACTAGTTTGCTACCTCAATAAAATAGAAGCGTAAACGTTAAAGACAAGAGTGCCTTTTGTTACTAGTGTGGAAAGTGGCCATTTCTAGACTTGGATGACAAAAGTTTAAAGAACAACATAAGTTATATTCGCTTAAAAAAGTAATCTTGAAAGTTATTCTTCTTTCTGTTTTTGCATTTTTGCTAAAACACTGCTTTCTGCCTGTGTGTGCTCTATCTTGCTGCCGTTGTCAGGGAAACGGCCCCCTCCTTCGCTGCTCTGGCTCTGAATCAGAGCTACTGCTTTTAGGATTTCTGGCTTTTCATAGTTGTTATTCCGTTAAATTTGAGAAATTTGCCATTTGAACATTGTGTTATGACACAGTTAAACGTTTTAAACACCATTTAGTGAATAGAAGTTTTGAATTTGTATGTTTTTGAAACCCAAATATTAGTGCTAAGGCTGTGCAATTCTTTTTAGACCTAACATATTTCTAGATTCCATTCTTTTAAATCTGCTGCTTATTTCTTAACTTTTTGTGAGTTGTGTTTGTTTTTATGTTTTTTATTTTAGTTACAAAAGCCGTTTTTCAAACATTTAAATTAGAATCTGTGTTAAAAGTGATTATTGATTATAGACTTTGTCTAAAAAGAAAGAGGGAATTAGATTAGCTGTAAAAGTATTATATTATGAAGTTAAACTACCCAATTCACCCATTGCAAGCGGTGACGTGTTTGTTTTGACTACACGCCTGACCTTCCTCCTGCTGCTGATGCACACAGCAGAGGAGACTGGCTCTAAAATCTGCAAGATAATTAAACACACAGTACAAAAGTACATAATACATATTTTAAAGTTTAAAGGTTTTTTGAGATTTGAGTCTTGTTTTTTATTAAGAGAGAGTTTCTGGTCTTAAAAGTGTCATCATTAGTAAGATAATAAGTAATCTTTTATTTACATAGCGCATGTGGGAAAGCCGAGAGCGCTCCAAAATAGTTTAGACTTTAGAGAGAAAAGTTTGTGTAAGCTCTCAGTCGTACAGGGATTAGTCAAAGCAAAGGAAGGTTTCTCACCCATCATCTGTACTTCTTAGCAAGTTTTCCCGACGTTTCGTCCTCAACCTAGCGGACTTCTTCAGGGAATGAATTCTTGGACCGCGCGTTGGAGATTTATAACCTATGGGTGTGGTTAGCCACACCCTAACCCTGATACTAACTCATAAACAATCTAAGGTCTGTTTGATGTAGAAGGGAGCAGGTCTAACGACCCTGCTGAGGCTAACGACCCTAACTCATTAGCATGTCACAGACCTATTGTCTGCTGGGATGCTCAAGTGGAGTGCAGGTTTCACCCCTCCTAACTCATTAGTATGTCACTGACCTTGTCCCAAGTTAGGGCGTTGTTTTTAGGATGTCGTCATAGATGCGAGGCAAAACAAATCTTAACCCTCCTCCTCTGTTAAGAGAAGGTTTTTGTTTCCTCACAAAAATGGCTTCTTTCACTCCTCTCTCAAACCAATTCTTCTCCCGAGCCAGAATTTTAACCTCTGTGTCATCCACCACACGGTGGATCCACAGACAATAGGTCTGTGACATGCTAAGGAGTTAGGGTCGTTAGCCTCAGCAGGGTCGTTAGACGTGCTCCCTTCTACATCAAGCAGACCGTAGATTGTTTATGAGTTAGTATCAGGATTAGGGTGTGGCTAACCACACCCATAGGATATAAATCTCCAACGCGCGGTCCGAGAATTCATTCCCTGAAGAAGTCCGCTAGGTTGAGGACGAAACGTCGGGAAAACTTGCTAAGAAGTACAGATGATGGGTGAGAAACCTTCCTTTGCTTTAGAGAGAAAAACAATCTCATTCGCATACTGATATCTATTGTTTTTTTTAATTGGCCGTCTCAAGGATTGTTTTTCAGACTCTGCCACACTGTACGAGAGGTCACTGCGGGAGTGGACACAGAGGGATCAGAACAGTGGCCCAGAGTAGACACCATCCAACCAGCCGCAGATCGTAAAGGCGCCATAGCTACCTCCGTGTGCCCCTCCCCCACTACAGGCCGATGGTCGTAAGTGGCAGTGAGACCGGGGCCACAAAGTGAGGTTTTCTGTAGGCAGTGGTGGGGGAGTTGTTTTGCAATCTGGAAGTGTGCCCACTTTGCTTGTTTACATCGAGCCAGTGTGACCTTTGAGACCTGCAGGTGGTTCGAGGAGTCTGGAGACACAACCCCAAAATTCACACCCTACACACATACACACACATACATCTATACACACACACATTCACATTTACATATAGATACATGAAAAAGTAGAACATGAGAAAAAAGCATTTTAAAAGTTTACTCCAATGTAAACACATATTTTTAATTGTCTATCACTGGAATCTTTACTTGAATCAGTATTTTTTGAGACCAGAAATGTTCATTTGAATTCTATATTGTCATGGACTTAATTGACGTCTGTCCTGACACTTTTGATTTGTTGATTTTGTACTGTGTGAAGTAATTACATTGATGAGGATTAGATATGATAAAAACACAAATTAGAGAAGTAAACTGAATCATTGCGCTTGCTTTTGTCTGAGGGACATTAGCAACAGCATGAATAGAAATTGTGTTAAAGTAGAATCAAAGTGACTAACCATAGAAAGTAACTATTGCATAACAAGCTGTGTACAGGAACTGAGACACTGCACCATTGACCAGAAGTGCATCGCAAATGACCTGATGTGCTTCAAGTGAAAAGACTGTATCTGGAGATCCTGATGTGCATCTGGAGAGACCAGAACCATGGCTTGGACCCTACTGATGTCCAAGATGACATCTCTCGAAATATGACCTGACCTGATCACGACTGAGACTCACCCTCAGGGGACACTGAGGACCTGAGGATCTGAGGACCTGAGGATCTGAGGATCTGAGGACCTGAGAGAAAAAACCGGGGAGTGATGTTTATATTTTTGAAATCATACATTGATGAGTGCTAAATGAGACAGATACTCATGATTCTTTCTTTTGTTTTTGTTTGTCCCTAGCTTCTGGACATCTGATGATCTATTGGACACAGCCATTTGCAGAACAAGAACCAGCCAATGAAAACGTCTATTGCCGATGCTATTGCTACAACCAGAACCTGTGACCAAATGCAATATACATGTTAAGTATTCAGACATCTGACAGACAAAAACTTTGACTTTTTAGTCTGGTAGACTGAGCAACTGTTAAAATGTTTGAAAATGATAAAGTATGAGTATTGTAGCGTTTTATTAGATGTCAAATAGTAGTAAAAGAGTAGAATTTGACTTATGTTATCCTTCTGATAGATCAGCTAAAATATTAGAATCAGAGTTATTTTTTTAGAGATATTAAAAGTGACAGAAGTCACAGATTAGAAATATGCCTTTGCTCAAGCTGCAGCCGAGCTTTGGAGTTAAAAAATAGAGTAAAAATAGGAATAGATAAATGCATCAACCATAGATGCTTTCAAAAATAGAGATTATTTGTAGCCAGTGCTAATATCAAATGGTAAAGGGACCATTTCACAAGCATTTACTTCAAAAGTAGATAAAGTTACTTACAGTTTTATGTACAGTTTTATTAGATACCTTCCAAATTCACTTGTGTTCAAACATGTTGTTGACAATACAAAAAGTCCATATGAGTGTAGTCTAGATTAATGCCTAGATCAATGAGATAGATTACAACCAACAGAGATTCAAAAGCATTTTGATGTATTTGGGTATAGCCCACTGTCGATTCATCAGAACAGATTAGAGAATCAAACACCATTGTAGACCCCAACCCCAAACCTGCTAAAATAGATTAGCTCTTGTAAGGATAATACTAATTTGATTAATGATGTACATTCATCCCAAACTGCCGGAGAGGAGGAAGTGACAGCACTTCCTGGTTCAACAAATATTTGGAAAACTGACCGCCATAATAATGTTCATATGAACCATTTGTCTTTCTGTGTTCACAGTTTTATTCCTGAGAATGAGAATAGACATAGAGCAAGATCCCACTGATAATAAGCCACTGATAATGAAAGTAAACCACAGAGAGATTAAAATGTATGGTTAAGAATATGGCTCAATAGAAGCAAATATACAAACATAAAACATAAACATTGTAAATAGATTAGAATAGTTTTAAACTATAGTGAATAGTAAAAGTAAAGTACACAGTCTAAGATTGAATAGTGAAAATAATACAGTGGAGTGTAGTGTAAACAATTAGCATTAGAATAAAAGTATAGAGTAATAAAAGTGAAATTAGCTTCTAATTTGAGACTCAGCTTGTTTTTGTCTGTGTTTTGACTGAATCTGCTGAGTTCTTGTGTGTCCAATAGTTTTTGTTTGTTTTTATTTTTGTTTGTTTTTATTTTTGATTTGTTTTTTGTTTGTTTATTTACTTTATTTTTTTTTTTTTTTTTTCCCAGGATAGAGGATAAAATCCACTGATATACATAGTTCCCACAGACCAATGAATGTCACATGACCTCCTCGGAGACGCCATCTTTGATGGCACGCTGCTGTGTTTGTGCATTCCATTAAACAGAAGAATGAGAATAAATGTAGATATTCAAACGCAAATTGGAAAAAAAGGGCAACTTTTGAGCAAATAATTGTATATTAATACAATGGCACCACAGTTTAACGTGCTACGGACATGTTTTACATATTTGATCAAATTATGCAGCAAAAATTAACAAGCAATGCAAACATTTCTCAAAAACTTTAGATTTAATACCAGTTGGAGCTCCATTTAATTATTTTAATTATATTAACAATGAATTTAATTAATGCTAATGCCACACGGACACTCTGGATTGCTGTTATTGTTTATTTCCGCGTTTTTGACCGTATGTTTTGGTGAATGGTGGGCAACTGATTTTTCCAGGCGTAAAGAGCAGTTTATTTTATGACACAGATCTTTTTACAGAAGCAATGCTGTTTGTGAACATTGTTTTAGCCCACCATAGAACTATTATTATCTATTTAATACATTTACGTTGCCCTCGAGAGCCTCGGACGCGACACCGATCCTCCTCATAATAAAGTAATCTAAATAATGAAACTCTCAAGTTACCAGCTATCAGCATACACAAGTTAGTACTGAGTAAATTACGTCTGTCAACACATTATAAGATACAGTACGATACGCACCTGACACAAAGTGCTCCGAGCATATTCTTGCGTGTTTTGAGGGAGTTTCTTGCCTGTTTATCTTCGCAAGCCATAACCTCCGTGGTTGTTCTGACAAAAGCTTAGTCTTCTCACATTCATCCATCCATCCATCCATCCATTTTCTACCCTTTAATCCATTTCTGGGTCAGGGGGGTGGCAGTCAGAGATGCCACCCAAGTCTCATAGCACCAGCCCCTCACTGACCCTCTGCAGGTGGTGAGTCCACAGGAGGACGGCTGCTCTCTGAGTGTGAGCATAGCCTTGATCTTTCAGTGGGGGCTTTGGGCAAAGTGGGGTTAAGTCTCTTGCCCAAGGACACAACGACAGCAGTCATCAGTGGGAGTCGGTGGAGAAGGTGCAGAGGTGGGAATTGAACCCACAACCTTCAGGCCTGAAGGCCAATGCTCTACCAACTGAGCTACTGTCGCCCCCTCACATTCATGAAGTCTAATGATGGGTATACTGTAAAATCCAAGTTTAACGGAACCTCCGGCACGATTTGAACATCCATTGACCCAGCAGGAGATGACCATTTTCAACTTTATCACGACATTAACACGTTTCAGCTTCTTTTTCTATTGTTTTGCCCACAGAATGCCAACACAAATGGCGCCGGGTCGGCAAATCCCCGTATGTAGTGACGTCATGTGGGAACTATGTATTGATTTGGATGATTATGAGTTTTAATAATTTTGTAAAGTTTTTTTTTTGAATTTTTTTTTTTTTTCTTTTTCCACTTTATTGATTGATCGATTTGAGTGATCACATGTGATTATGTGATCAAAGGGGAGGGTGTTAGTATTAGATAGCAATATGGCCTACGTGCAGGACTGTACAAGGACTCTACAAGGACTCCATGTTATGACTATGATGTGACTGTCTCTTTGTGACACGTATGTCTTTCGATGTGTGACGTGACAATGACTATATAAACTGTGTACTGCCTTTATTCTGTCTGAGAGAAAGAAACAGAGTAAACCATTGGAACTTGAGAGAAACTTAAATAAACTTCCAGAGTTTGGCACACCACGATCCGTCTCTGTCTGGTTCATCCCTGACAAAACCTTTCTTAATTTACAAAACATTATATTATTTTCTAAAGAACACCAAAAGTCAAGCAAATCAGGCAAATTCGCTGAATATTTTGGTATTGAAATTTGTGCTAGATCTTTCACTAATCGGTCGCCTGGACATGCCTTCAGTCATCCAAGAATCTCATTGGTCGATGCCTGGCCTGGATTGAACGGGTGGTTTTCTTACCTGATCCGATGACCTCCTCTATCTTGACGCAGGACGGATCGATCTCCTTGGCGAACTCGTGCACAGCCTCGTTGGGGTCCTCGTAGGTGAAAGGGTCGATGTAGATCTTGACCCCCGGTGAGCTGTGGCCCTCAGATAAGGTCGGGAAGGTGACCGTGGGGGTGGGGCCGTTAAACATGTCCGGCCTCAATGTCACTTCTGCTGAGAAAGACCCAGTAGGAGAGCTCTGGTCATAACTTTGCCAATAAAGTTGAGAAAATCTGTATTGAGGTAAAATGTGATTCAAAAACTAAAACTACCGCAAGAATTAAGGCTTGCTGTTCCTAACTGGGATTAAAACTTTGATGCTGCCACTACTGCATGAATACGACTATTTTTTCTACAATAATTTATGTACAATAACTGTGACTGCTGCTTCTACGCAAATAATGACTTCCCAATTATTTTTGTTTTCTTTAGTTTTTGCCTTTGTTCATTTTCTTGTTATGATCATGCAAACACTGTCTTATTTATAATTTCATGAATGTAAGGAAAATAAAAATACAAAACCAAAAAATAATAGACATTATCATTAAAGTAGAATACATTTAAACTATTCCAACACATATTCCGATTCTGATTGACAATTAAAATCATCATCAATTGGGATTATTTAAAGGAGCAATATGTAAAAATCTGTCAAACAATAACAGCCAATATTCTACAGTCCTCGCCCACTCTCCCTGACTCAGGTTGCCAGATATGCAGACGAATCCAGCCGGGACCATAACAGCTGAATAGACAAGAGTTTTTTTTCATTAATGATTTGACTGACATGTTATTTTTCCAGTGAGAATAGCTCAACACGGTGAGTTCTGGCAACCCGGATGTGGGACATTGAAATTAATACAATAACAAGATTTAGGGACTTAAATCCAATTTTGAAATACAAATATCCCGGCCGAACAACTGTCCTCAGCTAAAAAAAAAGTCTTCAAAAAGAGCATGGTTTATTAATGCCTTTTGACATACAGTATAAGGGCCATTTAATGTTGACTTGACATGAAAATCTTACATATTACTACTTTACGTCACAAAAAAATCAGCATACAACATGTGAACGTAAATGCGACTTTCACTCTCTACGGTATTAATGTAAATACATACTCTCACAATAATTAAAACTAAATGTTCATCTTTGACATTCTTAAATTGTACTTGAAGTCGTACCTCCTCCAGAGTTGTACTGCTGCAGCTTGTCCCCATACACACTTTCCTTCTGACTCCTCCTATAGGGGAGAAATTGGGGGAGACAAAAATCACATCAATTTCTGAAAAAGTTGTGACACTAAAATGCTAATTGGCTGCCTACTTTCTTTATCTGGGTTGAGGTAAAATAATGGTTCACTGAATGCCACAAAAAGCTAAATCTATCAGGAATTCATTAGTCTTGGATGACTTGTTATTTTGGTTTTGTCAGCTTGTGTTACAGGCTTTCATTTGACGCCGTGTGTTAATGTGCCAAGCGATCGCATCTGCAGAGTCCTTATACCTCATTCATGAAGTGCAGCGCGACACCAGCCAAAGCACCGGGGTCGCAGGAAAGTCACCGCTAACTTTTATATATCATTTCATCATTGTGTGCTCAGACTCAAACTTGTGTTATCGAGTATTGTGCCATCTCCAGGAACACTATGCTCATTTTAAACTACACATACTATGGAAAATATACAGTATGTATGATTTGTTAAGATTATACACAACATTTTTCTTCTCTCCAAAAACACACCTGGAGATGTTCTCTTCATGCAAATATTATCATAATCACAATTTTAGCGGCTGCAATTATTTTGATCAGGGATGTAAAAGTCAAATACATCAGAGACCAATATAACAAATTTGCTACCATCTGAGGATTGGACTGGTTCAATGTTTATTAAAAGATATTACAATGATGCACAGAACCTATTGAACCAACACCTAACACAGTGTACGGTATTTAATTTAATGATTAAATGAATAATCCATTATTTTCTTATGGCTTTGTGCGGCTGGTTCTAAAATTAATCAAATCTCCTCCCGGGGACAAAGATCATTCATTTGCGGGCCGGATCTGGCCCCCGGGCCTTGACTTTGACATTCATGATTTAGATAATTTCCTTTACAAAAAATATGTTTTTGTATAATATATAAATCTGACAGTCACTGTGGTTGGAGCTCTAAAACCACCACCAATGTCAACAATAGACCTTAATATGAGTGCTTTTGGAGGGCTTCTTCTGCTGATGGAAAAAGTAGATCCAGTCTTGTCTAACTTAGTCTTAAGCACAATGGGATTTTAAGAGAGACATTGGTTGCTGTTTGATTTCAACAGTGGAAAAAAATGGCAAATAAAGTACAATTGTTGTACTTTTGATTTTCTTTTTTTCTTCTTCTCCTGCACTGTTAATTGCCAATTTCAGTTTGACAATTCTTTTACATCAAGCAGACATTGTTTAAAACATAAAATGCCAAATTAAAGGTGTAAGATCATGTCCAATTGCCAGAATGAATTAAATTAACTTAAGATTTCTTAAGATTTCTAATAACTTAAGATTTCTAATAATCATTATTTTTTGTTGTTTATTTAAAATATATGCAAAAGTGGAAGTTCAGACTGGAGTACAGGTGGAGACCGGATTAATGCATTTTCATCGCTCTATTTGAATTATGAGATATATTATTACATATCTCATGTTCTATAAATGAATATTATGCTAAATATATAATTCTGCTGCTCGTGCTCTGTGTACTGGGTGCTGCTCTGACTGCCACCCCCGACCCAGAAATGGATTAAGGGGAAGAAGATGGATGGATGGATATCATTCTACCTTTTTCTCCGACTCCAGGGTCCTAGTGCAAATCTCACTGCAGCAAACAATGTTCCTCACGCAAATTGCACGTATTCTGATACATTCTTTATTGTTCCAGACTGAAATAACGTAATAATTTTTTTGAATTTATTTCATTCTTCGAGTACTTACTATTCCCTCTATATCCCAGTCATTCTGAGTGGAGTTTGCATATTCTCCCCATGTCTGTGTGGGTTTCCTCTGGGTTCTTCGGTTTCCCCAACCACTAAAAACATGCACTAAAGATAAAATCCTCCAGCTCCGGTCCTGACCACGCCGAGCATCAACATCTGGAGATGGGTTCCCGGGCACTGTTACTACGGCAACCACTGCTCCTTATAGACGCCCCTTTACCTTTACTTCATTTACTGTGCATGGCAAATCTGAAATATTCCTTCTGTAGCATGATTGAACTGTATTATTATTTGAAGGCATACATAGTTTTATTTCATATATATATTTTTAGACTAAACTACAATTTGTCTGATAAGAAAACAAAAATGAATTCAAGATGACAAACTTTCCCGAGCCGGAGTTGGTCCGATGTGTGATTCAGACTTGCTCGATGATTTACTTTATAAAGTGGGACATTCTAAACACTGATATGTCCACAGAGAACAGGAGGAAAGGACATAGATAAGAGGCTGGAGATAAACCCGGGTGACACAAGCAGCGGTGATGTGGCCAATTAGATCACAACTACTGTCTCAATCTATAAACCGCTTGCAGATCAAAGAGAAGTGAGTCAGAGCTACAAGGCCACTGAGGTTTAGACAAAATTACTGCTGGAAAAGACACAAAAGTAAAGTGGCAGGAAAATGTGCATTGTTATACAGTTTGTGCTTTTTTTCCCCTGGAGCTTTTGGATCTGAAAAAATATAGTTCTTGTAATTCTAATTATAAGTTCTGTCAGAATCAACTTAAAATATTTTACTGAAACAGTAACACTGCTAATACATAGTTATTAAAATGGTCTGTTCAGGTAAAACACCCACATACACACACACACACTTATATATACATTATATATTATTTATATTATATATATTATTATCAACACATAATCTGAACAGTGTTTGTCAAATATATCTGAAGTATTGCATTGAGTTTATTAACATTTCATGCCAGACAAACGCATAGTGGACCACATCACAGAACTGCTAGATAAGAACAAACTGCATAACAAGCCATAGAAAAGTTGATGTTGCTTTTCTTAGTCGCAATTAGATTTATAGAATCTGCTCACATGCTATGCTCATTCATACAATCCCCAAATAAATGGCTTGTGCTCAGTAGTGCCTAGGAACAGCCGTGGGGGCCGAAAGAGCGGAACATCATGTGGGCCTCGTCTGGTCCTCCCGGTTCTGCGCAGTGGACAAGCTCCCATGATGCTTTGCGCCAAATATGCGTGTGTGGCTCTCATGCACGTGCACAGAGGGGCTCGGCCGCGCTTTGACCAATCAGCGGCTGGTGATCAGAGTGGAGCTAGAGCTGGAGCCAAACGAGCAGAGTTTGTTGCTTTAGCAAGCAAGCAAGCAAAGTTTATTTATATAGCACCTTTCTCAGACAGAAGGTCACAAAGTGCTTCACATCAAAAACAAGCAATAATTAAAAACACAATAAAAAAAAAAAAATAAAAAAAAAAATGTAGCTTTGAAATGTAGATTTGTTGAAAACCAAAAGATTTAACAAGAAAAAAAAGTTCAGGATGACAAGGGACACTAAAATCCAATCTTTATGAAAACTGTAGGTTTTCTGTCAGCTGATGTCGAGCTGTTTTAGTTTACAATGAGTTCTATGGGACATTTTTCTGGGTAGCCCGCGTGAATTTAGTCTGCAGTACCACGGGCGCCCTCTGTGTCCTTGGGTAGGACAGCTATAAGCTAGTAACACCCTATCTAGGTTATAATATAGATCTATGGTAGTACCCCATCCAGATATTATTATAGATCCATGCATACAGAGCCTTCAAAACTGACTCAATTGACAGTTTTCATATATTCCCACTGTAGGGAAATTGCCACCGTTGTCAATACCTGGAACAGATGATCACGATAGCGACCAGTGACACGATGCACACTCCTCCGACCAGAGATCCAGCGATGAGCGACAGCTGCTGCCCGAGCTCAGACTTGTACTCATCTAAAAACAATTAAACAAGTCATTTTAAATAGTTTCCCTTTGAGATACATTTTGTCAAAGGAAAAATACACAGCTCTCTTGACTGTGCTGTTACAAACTTAAAGAGGTTGGGATGACATAAGAGCTCTGGTGCAGATAAACACATTTGCTCGGAGACAAATGTAAAGTAGGACAGAATCTAATTACTTCTCGGCTTCTCACTCGACATCCTCCTTATTCTCGCTGCTGGTGGAAATAGGGATGGTTGATGTATTGTGTAGGTCAAAAAGTCATGCAAAGAACGATTTCATTTATGCTTTATGAATCAAGAACGAGACTACTTACTTATTGGTGCAAGTGTTGGTCTGAGCTGAGACATATAGATCAATAACAATGCACTAGACTTCATTAATCATTAATTAACGCTGTATGTGTATACTACCATCTCTGTTTGTTTTATTTATATTCTATAGGTTTGTGTTTTTTCCCACACATAACAGAGACCCGTACCACCAAAATCACATATTGTTTTTTTAATTATGTTTTATAGTAATAATAATAATACATCAAACTTGTATAGCACTTTTTTGGACACTCAAAGACGCTTTACAAAACACATAAAAATAAAACTTTAAGAACAAAATTAAGGAAAGGCAAGCTGAAACAGGTGGGTTAGGGTTATGAGGGTTAAGTGATTGAAAGTTATGTAGTGAATCTGAGTTTCTGGCGGGTTGTGGGAGTGAGTTCCAGAGAGTGGGGGCGGCTGCGGCGAAGGCTCGGTCCCCCAAGGTTCGGTGTTTATACCTGAGGGGAGTGAGGAGGTTGGAGTCTGTGGATCGGAGGCGGCGGGTGGGACAGTGATGATGGAGGAGGTCAGTGAGGTAAGAGGGAGCTAGGTTAGAGGGACTTGTATTGTATGTGGTATGGGACAGGGAGCCAGTGGAGTTGTTTGAGGATGGGGGTGATGTGGTCTCTGGAGAGGGTGTGGGTGAGCATGAAGGCAGCAGAGTTCTGGATGTATTGTAGTTTTTGGACATGTATGGAAGGGAGACCGTAGAGGAGGCTGTTGCAGTAGTCGAGTCTGGAGGTGTTGAAGGCGTGGACCAGTATTTCAGCTGTGGATTGAGAGAGGGAGGGGAGGAGGCGAGATGGAAACAAGTTCTTAACTCTATCCTATGTTTGTATGATTGCAAGCAAGGGATCAATGCATAATTTCCTTTGGGATCAATAAAGTATATATCTGTCTTTGTATACATTGTAATAATTATCTATATTGTAATAATTACCAAAGTAAGTAAGTATTGTTTTTTTTATGTATAGCACATTTGTTTACGTCACCCAATGAAAATGGAAAAATATCTGAACTCTGAACTTTATAAAGCTATAAGAGTTCAGACATTTTTCCATTCTATCCACACATGGTGATGACAGAAGCGAGACGCCGAACTGGCATCAATGCCCCCAACCAACACCATTCTTTCACTCACTCATGAAATTCATACCTAGCACCTCACTCCCATCACCCGCACTCACCGCCGGACCTTGGGGGGCAGAGCCTTTGCCATTGCCGTCCCAACCCTCTGGAACTTACTCCCACTGCCCATTAGAAACTCTGACTCACTACCAAATTTTAAATCCGTACTCAAAACCCATCTGTACAAACCCATCTGTTTTTTTTATCTTATACCCCATGAGAAGCGTCTTTGAGTTTCCAAAAAAGCGCTGTAGGCGCAGAACCTGGAGGAAACCTATGCCGACACAGGGGACATGCAAACTCCACTCAGAAAGGCACTGTTCCGACTGGCTTGCTGAGAAGCGAGAGTGCTAACCACTCAGCCACCGTGTCACCCAAAGACTGTATGCAAATGAAAAATACAAACTGTATACTATGGCTCTGGTTTTGTAAGTAAGTGTGTACTTTCAGGTCAATCATGCATCACAATATATAGAAATAATCATATATTTTGTGCCTTTTGTGACATGAATGCAAATCCTATCGTTACAATTGCTAATCGGCCGAGCCCAACCTAAGTCAGAAACAAAACCAAACCTAGTATTGACACTACGTCTCTCTCACCGTCAGTTAGTGTTTGGAAGAGCATCTCTTTGCTGTAGGCTCCGTATCCGGCCACTGTGCGCGCTCTGACCTGCACTACATAACCGGTCCCAGGCTTCAGACCCTCCAGGACCACACCGGTCATCTCACTCTGCATCACTGAGCTGTTCACCACTGAAGACTGCACCTGGACAGAAAGATAGAGAGAGAGATACTGTCATGATGCCCCAAGACACAATTCTTCATCAAAGGAGGAGACAGTGAATTCAGTTTTGGCCATAGGGACAAACAGATTAAATCCAGGTGGAGTTCAAACTGAGATAACGTCACTCTTTCCATAGTATTTGTTCACATGACTCCTTTTTAAACAAACAAAAAATGTCATTGTGTAAGGGTCATTGTAAAGGATGTTGTTGCTGGTTGATATAAAAACTGATTAAAATTAAACTATTTCGTACTTGTGGTATGTAAATGTTTTCCTTGTTATAATATTGTAAAAACGGTGTTGTAGTACAAGACTGGACATCCATCCAAAACTGTCTGATCCAAATATCACTGATCCAGTGAGTGTTTTGAAGAGTGTGAGTCAGACCCACATCACAGATAAACACCGAGGTAAGTCCGTACTCCAGCCATTTCAAATCAGCAACTCCTCCTGGAATCCTATCATTGAGTCTGATGGAATCTACCTCACCTTAACCCTAATGGTCCAATATAGATACACTTTATTGTCCCCGTAGGGAAAAGTGTCATCTTTGAGCAGCAGCATACAGGGACCGTCCCCAGATGTTGAAGCTCCACTTGATCAGGACTTTAAAATTGTTTACAATGTGTCTTAATATATAAGAAAAATACAGACAAATAGTATGCAGGTGAAACCTTCTAATTTCCTAAAAATACCAGCGATTGAAGGGTTGGTGGGAGAAGTAGCTGCTTAATGAGAACATTTATTTCATTGACCTTTATTTACCCAGTAAAGTCCCGCTGGGATTTCAGAACGTCTATTTCAGGAGAGTCCTGGCCCCAGAAAGAAGGGAGCTATTCTACATGTTTTTAATGGTAGGGGAAAAATCGTGCAAACACCACTCAGAAAGGCTCTGTCTAGAGGTGGAATCAAACCCATGACCTACAGTGGTGGGAGAGCTCTGGGACAGGGGCACAGTGGGGCTGCTGAAGCTGTGAAGTGTTACACTGTTGTAGTGTCCTTAGGCAAGACAATTCACCCATATTGCTTAGAATGAGTGGCGTGTGTGAATGGTTGGTGGAGGTCGGAAGTGTTAGGGTTAGGGCATACTGGCTGCCTCGCTTCTGTCAGCCTGCGCCAGGACAGCTGTGGCTAAAGTAGCAGTTTATCACCACTGTGTGTGTAAATGTAAATGTGCACTTTATTGTCCCCATAGGGAAATTTGTCCTCTGCATTTGACCCATCCGGATGCCACTAAGGCTTACGTCAGGAGCAGTGGTCGCTGCAGTAAAGCGCCCGGGGACCCATCTCCAGGTGTTAATGCCCGGCTTGGTCAGGACTACCGGAGCTGGAGGATTTTACCTAGTGAGCATATTTTTAGTGGTAGGGGAAACCGGAGTACCTGGAGGAAACCTATGCAGACACGGGGAGAACATGCAAACTCCACTCAGAAAGGCCCTGGTCCGACCGGGATTCGAACCCAGGAGCTTCTTGCTGAGGGGCGAGAGTGCTATCCACTCAGCCACCGTGCAAAAATGCATTTTGAACAAAAACAATCATGCGTCTTCCTTCCACTATGAACCAGTGTTTCCCTTCCTAATTTTTTATTTGTTATTATACATTTCACAAATCAAATCAAATTATTGATAGATGGTTTAAAATTAAAAGCAAAAATTAAATAAAAAGCAACTTCACTGTGTATCTTCCTACATAATCGCATCGTAATACTAAGGTGATGGGTGAATTTGTCACATGATGTGAAGTAGACCTTGAAAATCAGCCTGTGTATTGCCGTCCTCGTGGAGTGGAAATGGACCTATCTCGTAAACCCCGGCGAGCACCTTTCACCTCTATCTGCCTCTGCCTTTTCTCCAGCCTCCCTTTGGCATCCTCACGCTGATAAAAACGCTTTTGCTGGGGAAAAAAATCACAGCAGTCCTGAGCAGCGGCGATAGTGGTGACAGGTGAGTGGGGGAAGGGGCCGCATCAGGAGAATAAAGCAGCAGGGGCTCAAGACTCAACAGAGAAGCTCGGGTTTGATGGTCACTGCCTTTCACGTTGTAAATTATGATGTTCTTAATATATAAATGCATGTGTCAATATCTGATTTATCAGACACAAATACATATATTCTAATCACTAATACTGTATATACTATTTTGATATGATTGAAATATCTGTGACTACAGATATAAAATTAAGAGATTAAGAGACTTCGTTTGTCCAACAGTGGAGAAATTTCAGTGTTGCATCACAAATTATAAACAGTAGAAATGAGGAGCACACAGTGTAAGATAAATGAATATTAACTCTATACTAAAATAAAATAACATAAAATCTCAAACTCTAGCATAAAAAGAACCAGTACAAAATCTCTGACTTTAGCATACATTTTTTGGACTAAAGTCTTGCTTTTTCAAACCATATCTTCATACCTTGAAACCAATACAAGAACAGAATGTATGCTAGTATGACAAAAATAACATGATGCTAATAGCCGCAGTTACACATACCAAATGGCCGTGGGGGGAAACAAATCTAACTGATAATCAGCATTCTCTTTTTGATGGACCATACCCAGTTTGCCTAAAGCTGTCAAGCCCTGTCAGTATCCACAGCTTTAGATATGTGAGATCTGGCAAAACATAGCCTTAAGGTGCAGTTTGTAATTCTGAGAAGCATTACCCAGGTTATTACAATCATTTCACAATGTCATCATCTTCAACATCTTGCCACTTATTTCAGATTAATAATAATAAAACATAGTGGACCAAATTAAAGATATTTTCTTTACCCGATCATAGCAAACAAAAAAGTCTCTTGTATCAGTTGCCATTGAGCTAGACCAGGAAAGTCAATGCACATAAACACCATTGCATTATGTTGGTGGTGTGTAGAGTAACCAGACAAACAGACATAGTCACGCCCATCTCCTTCGTTGAAACTAATGTGCCACCACTTTTGCCTTCTTTGAGCTTTTTCAAAATCGCCATGGGGCAGGAAAATGTGAAAAAACGCATTTGTGCATGCGTTAGCCGACATGAGCCACATTTATTTTAACGAGTGCATTCTGAAGTTCACAGTGGCTAAACTAGACTGGTCCAAATAAATACATCTGGACCGTAGGGCCAAATAGTGCCAACTTTTGGACCATCCTGTTAAGCCGTTTTTGAAAGGAAAGAAGACACCATACAAAAGCATTGGGAAATTCTCTTTCCGGGTACACCCCCACCGGCCCATTGAGATTGAAAGCATGTCAGCACACATGCTCATGGAGCTTTTGGAGTGTAACGCACAGGTGCATAGGCAATATACTGTATAGATGGAACAATAATAAGCCGCTAGCTTCATATGCTTGGGTAAAAAGTTGCTTGGCTACCATTTTCTCAAAAGTAACACAGTCACACTGGGCTGTAAATCCAGATTTGAGCCCCAAGAACTGACCAATGACGTGCCTCCTCTCTCATTCCTGATTGACTGGTCGTAGAGCCCATTTAAGTAAGCTGGTGATGTCATACTCGGTTGCTCCTCAGAGTCCCAGCAGGAGGCCAGTCTCTTTGCTCCTCAGAGTCCAAGTTGGCTCATATGGCACTAACATGTCGCTAATGTACTTTGGTGCGAGGCCATGGAGAGACTTGTTTTGTTTATATGTATGCGTAATTACTTCAATCTACATGTTTATTGCAATCTGCATTTTAATTGAAACACAAAGTCACGGATTGGACACGGCATGGACAGGCACACGAGTGGAGCTGAAATCCGGGTGTGAGGATTAGCCTTGGAGGAGGACTGGCGGGGGCTTCCCATTCCCCCTCAGCTCTTCACACAGATGAGGTGAAGGGGCAGCTAGTCTGGAACGCCTGGGAGGGGGTGATAAGTCTGGGTGGGAAAAAAACGGGGCCATATCAAATTTACTACATTAAAACTTCATTATCGATAGACCGGAGATGAGGTTAGTCTTTGGGGGGGGGGGGTGTAGAAAAAGGTGAAGAAGGGGCTGTTACTGTCGGTGAAAACCTGTCTTCACCGCATACGCACTTATCCAAAGGCTCCCTGAAGACTCCATCACTCCCAGCTATGCGCTAAAAATAGACTCTATATGGTGCAAAGTATCTTTCTTGTATATATATCAAAGAATCCGGGATGAAGCAATAACCTTGTTTTGGTTCCAATTTTTATTCCTCTGGTTAAATAATGTTAAATACGCAAAGTGGCAAATAAGGCCAACTTGAAATCTTGGAAGTGTGTATTTTGACTGTGTAAGAATTTTTATCTGTCAGAGAAAAAGTACAGCTACAGTCAAAACTTTTCCCTCAACTTTAATTGCTCTCCAAAATATTGAAACTGCACTGATTCCAGCTACAAGAAATATCCCAAAACTTCAGGGTTGGATAAGAATTGCATCAGATTTTGGAGTTGCAAGACGTGCTTACAGTAGCTATTAATACACAGAGATGAACTGTATTATATAAACAAACGTAAGAGGGAGAGGTGTGGGGTTTGCAGGAGAAATGGTAAAAATACATTCTTTTAATAGTTCTGAGTGGGATCATGCTGTTAGGTTGCCTGAGCTGGCCATGCTTTCACCAAGTGTCCTCATTTCGGTTAACACACACACACCGTTGAATTTGCCAACACAGATCAGAGAATCAAACAGTTCAAACACAAAGAAAAATAGAAAACAATTGGTATTGGTCCATAAGGGGCAGATGACAAATGTCCGTAAGTGTCCTGGATCATCCCCACAGTCCTTTTTGCTAGACCTCACACGGCTTTTACAGACCCTCCTGCATCGGTAAGGAAAAACTCTAAACCCAGAGGGTAAAGTGAGAAACCTTGTGGAGGTAGACATTGAGAGAGGAGTCCACTCCCACGGACGGACGGGCTGTAGATCCAGGACTCAGACTGCAACACAAGGGCCAAGGCCACACAGTGCAGGACTCAGGCTGTAGAACGAGGACAGGCGTGATGCAGGACTGAGGCAGCTCAGTCATAGCCCACGA